ATAATTATAATTACAAAAATGAAGGTACGAAAAATATTAATTCAGGTACTCCAATCGATACTGCTTACAATATATAGTTACTTGAATAGTTTATAATTGTCTAAGAATAGAATTGATACATCCAACAGATATATGTAAAAGAAGAAAAATTATCAAAACTATATGGGTAAATTGAATAATAAATATTTAAGGAAAAAATATAAGACTCATATTAAATCAAATAATTTAGTATTTTGTGTACATGTATAAAATAATTACATATTGTTGGAAGTAATAAGTATAAAAATATATAATGTTGATATGTTTCAAAATTTGATCATCATTTTATTTGGTTAAATATTGATATTGTTTAAGAAACAATTAGATTTTATGCTAAATAGATTTTTAATTTTCACTTTCCATTATCATATTGTGGAGGTTAAGATTCAGAATTTCTTTCGAAACTGAGTTTGAAGAATAGTTTATTAAAGATATTAAGAGAAAAATAGAGGATTATTATTTCCAGGAATTTAACAAGATATTAAAGTCTTTTAAAGAAAACATCAATCAGATTATAAAAATATGAAGAATTAGAAAAATATAATAAAAAATCCTAAACAATATTTATTTAAAGCAGTATAAATTTTTAGAAAATGTTTCACCCTTTTTATACCCAGTATAATAATCTTCCAAAATCCTTAACAAAATTATAAAATATCAATTAAAAACATCAGATAATTCTAAGAATCTTAACTAATTGGTATAAGTCATAATAAAGTTTGAAAATGAAATTAAAATTCTACTGAAAAATATAGAAAGCGAAATGTATGAAAGATTATTAATAGAAAAGAAGATAATTTATAAGGGTTGTTGGAAAATATTGGAACAAGCAAAAATAAAAATTATAAAATTTCTAATTTTGCTTTGACTTCACAAAAAATAATGAAATTGAATAGACAGGATTTCATGGATAGATCTTAAGAAGGTATAAATCTTTTTTTATTTAAGAGATTATCTAAAAGGCATATGCTAATAACCAGAAATATTAACAAATTATGAATAAATTAAAGATTTAGAAGGGTTTGGATAGTACAGTAAAGGAATAAGAGGAAAGGTAAATGGTAAGCTTATTTGGATGGATAAATCATTTAGTAAGTTTAAGGTCATTATAGAAGGAGATGAAAAAACATAAAATATATTAAAAAGGAATGAAATAAGGCTATTGGAAAGAATGCTTGAAAATTTTTGCAAGTATTCATATTAATTCAACTAATAGTAAAGTTAATTGTAAAGAATTAGGAGCATACAAAAATGACCAAAGTGTAGGAAAATAGATTTATGTGTATACAATTATAATATAAATTATTAAGAGGAGGAGGTTTTTACAATCATTAACATTAAAAAAACGGAAAATGGATTTAATTGAGAGATGATTTTTGTTTTAGAGCTTAAATTTTTGATGTTGGTGAATATAAAAATGGTAATAAAACTGGAATATGGGTTGTAACATATAGAGATTTTTTTTAATAAAACATATTATTAGATGTAAGAATTTAAATATATTTATTATTCTACTATTATTTCTAATAAATTTATTAGCGGAGGTGGCTAATATTAAATTTATGATAAAATAGGTAGATGGGATATTTTTTATAATGATTTGCAGCAAGAGTAAAAATAAATGTAAGTATTTTATAAAGAATAACATTTTGTTAGTGGTGATGGATAGTATGATTTTTTATTGGGTTATACTAAAACATTTTTCGTGGTCAATAAAATATGAGAGGCATGAAAATTGGTAGATGGGAGTACCTCTAGGAATCTTCAGTTGTTTCTGCCTATATAGTTTTTTAATACCATTTGTTATAATAGGAGGTGGATTTATTAATAGAAAATTAATGAGTATTTTAGTTTTTTATATAAAAATACTCAAGCCACATTATCTCATTATATTTAAACAAACTTCATCTTCTAAAGGTTTTATATAGTATATTAAATTAATATTGTATTAATAAATTAAATTTTCATTAATAGAGTTTTTATTGTTATATTTTTCATTCTCCTTAACTTGTAGTAATAGGTACTGATCCATATCTGAAATCAATCATATTCCATTTAAATGTAAAATCTATTTTACTAAAAACTTTATTGCAGTATTATGTTTAACAGCTACTTCTGCAGTAATAAAACTGATTACTGCATTTAATTATAAATCATGCCAGGTTTGAATCATTTAAATTTAACTTGCTGTTATCTATTTTTAATGTAAAGATTCTTATAATGTTGCTTTACAAGGATAAAAGTAGATTTATCTTTCTTAAAACTCCTATTTAAATTTCTTTTTATTATTTTAACATTCTTTTCATCAAATGTTTTCATTACAAAATTGATATTTTTTATATTAATTGGAACCTATTTATAATTGATTGTTAATAGTAAACCATATTCTTTGAATACCCTCTAATTAACTTAAACATAGTCTTACTAAAAGAAGCAGAAGCAACCTTAAAGAAGCAAAAATGTTAATTAAGTCTTCCAATTTGAATCCAGAATACTCTGTTAAAGCAATCTCATAGTTTCATCCTAATTTTTCAGGAAATAGTGTAATAATTTGATTCTTTATTAGATAAATATTCCTAAAATTTTTTGATTTGTTTTTTAGTTTGAATCTTTAGTAGAATCTTTTGAAATTTTTATACATATTTATTATTAAATTTCGTTTTCTCATTCATCTATCTTATTGTACTATTAACTGTTTTATGATTATAAATTATATCTAAATTCAATTTTCTTGGGATTATTTATTTTATTTCATTTTTTTGAGTCTATATTCTTTTGTGGTGATTAAATATTCCGATAACATCCTTAAATTATTTTTAATATATTAAGGATATGATTATATTATTAATGATTTTGGGTTGAAGCAATTATAATGAAAATGGATCAAAAACTGGTATGTGGTTAGAAGTTGTGGATTATAGGAGGTTTAAAATTAAATGTGAAATATTTTATTAAAGTCCAACTATTATTTTCTAATAAGAAACATATAGAGGTGGAATGAAAATTGGAAATTGGCAAATTAAATCTAAGCACAAAATAAAGGAAAAATTTGCTTTAAAATTTCTTTACTGGTGGAGGTGATATAATAAAGGATAAAATTTTGGATAATGGATTGAGATTTATCAATATTGGGAGTCGAATATATATGATAAATAAATTAGGTGTTGCTAATTATCGTTTTTTGGAGACTATTAAAATATAGTTAAAGTAGGAAAATGGGAAATTCATTTTTGCTAATTTAAGAATGACATTACAAATATGCTAAAATTAAAACTTATATATTTAGAGAGAATGAAGCATTTGATGAGAATGGCTTAAAAGTAGGTTATGGACAGAAGTTTCTAAAAAATGTTGGGAGTATAAAAAGTTCTCAGGTGAGAATTTTACAGGCTAATAAATCATTGTTTTTTTAAATCTATTGATATTTAATTATAATTGACAATAATGATATCAGATTGTTTGATTTTGATTTATAATATATATATGTAGATTTCTTATAATATTCAAAATAATACAATTTAACATCTCAGATTTTATGAGCCTACTTTATTCGTACTAATATTTTTAGTATAAACTTATATTTCTTATTACTAAAATTATTCTTCTTAATGTTAATTGCTATTATTTTATATTTTATCCTTTTTAATTAGATTCCATAAAGATTTAAAAATTTCGAAAATACGTTTAAGTAAACCAAAAATTAAAATGCAAAATTCAGTTAAAATTGCTAGTATGACTAAAGCAATAATTATCCAACCTAAAGTATTTTTGTTTTTCTCAATAAATTCTACATTTATTTGATCATTAATAGCAAATGAAATAACTATAAATATTATGAAGCTTATACAAAAATTTAATATTAGTTATATCACATATTCTTTTTTTGAATGATATGGATTTTAATATAATAAGAAAACAAAATTTAAAGATGAGGATAGATAACATAAAGTTACTTACAAAATAGGGGTAGAGTATGAATTAACCATGAAAAAGATATATAAGATTTTGCTTATTTATCCAAAAAACTCATAATAATATCCAAATGAATTTTCAATATTGATGTTTTCATAATAAACTCCATATAATTCCTCAAAATGTTTATTTTTAGCTTTAAGCTTATGAATATTCAAAATTTAATATTACATGTACAATTAAAATATGATTATACCTATTGTTATTATTGCAACAAATTGATTGAAACCGACTATGATATTTGAATTATTTTTTGAATATGATAACTAAAGTAAAATAGCTAATGTAATATCTAATAAACATAATGAAATTGTTTATTTAAATTATTTTATGAGGTTAACTGAATTTCTCTCCAAAAGATTAGTAATATATTTCATATATGGATTTTATACTACCATTTATTGTTAAACTTTGATTTAATTTTAACAGCCTTATTTTTTTATTTAAATATTAAAAATACTAAACTTTTTGTCTTTTTAAGATATCTTTCGTTTCAAAGTATTATCAAGTAGAGAAAAGAATGAATAAAATAGATAGTTTATTAGGAAAATGATGATAAAAGTTAGTAAAAACATAAATGGAGTTTATATGTTATTAAAGAATAATGGATCTATTCCTTTATCTTTGAATCTTTTTGGAGCTTCAAAGTAATAATTACAATCAGGTTGATTCAATCCTTAATAAGTTGGAAAGCCTATGAGGTTTGACCAATCACTATTTAAGAAGAATAATTCGACATTGAAAGGATAATTAACATTAAGAAAATAAAAATTATTGATCCAACTTAATATTTCTAGAACTGCCCATAAGCAATTAAAAAGATTAAAAATAATAGATATAGGTATCAGCAATAAAAATGTTAAACTAAAAGATTATTGAGCACTTTAGATATATTCTTTTTGTTTTTAGTTATTTTTTTCCAAAACAATATACTCGGATGGTGTTATATCATATTAAACACTTCTAACTTCAAAAAGTAATCTGTTTATAGAATTTGTATATTATATTATTGCATGAATTGTATTAAATTTATAAATGGATTTCTTGAAATCAAATTATAAATTACAAGTTAAGATATCAATTTAAGTGCAATTATAGTTATAATCTTAAATATCCATATTGTCTATAGTTATATTAGCAGTGTTGCATAAAATTTTGAATTGATAATCAGTAATTAATTTCAAATGATATGTATTATTTGCGTAGGATTGATAATCCTTTATTTAATTCACTTCTTGATCTGAGATTTCTAAATTACATTGAGAATCACAGCCATCTCCATTATTTTGATTATAATCATCACACTATTCATATTTTTCAACGACAATTCCATCACCACAAATAGAATTGCATTTTTTAGTAGTTTGGTCAGAATAAAGACCAGGAATTGATTCACAATGATCACAATCAGGTCTATAACAAGATGTACATAAATTTGATTGAAAATTGCAAGTAATACAATTTGAATCACATTATTAACATTTATATTCCACAGGATAATAACCATCAAGACAAGATTTGCAAATTAAATTGATTTTATCTAAACTTATGCATTAAGTACATTCAGTATCACATGTGTTACAAATTGAATAGTTTAATTTTCCACAAACATAACCATCCTATATTTTACAATCGATACATCCATCTCCTCTTTAAACATCACATTCTTCTTCTTGTAGATTTAGCAAACCATCGCCACATATTTAAACACAAAGATCACCATCTAATAAGAATCCATCATTGCATTTTATGCATTTACCATAATGACAGACAGCGCAATGATATTATTGGATATCCATTCCTTTATCACATTTTTCATATTAAATCAATTCACATTTAGAACAACCATCATAGTCATCTGAGTTACCATCATCACATTATTCATGATCTTGAATTTAAGAATCTCCACAGATAGATTAACATCCCATATTTCCTAATATCCATCCGATTTCACATTTAACACAAAATCCATTAATGCATATTTCACAATTTGGATAACATGAAAGTTTACAAAAATTATCACAATCATCGTCATTAATAATATTTTAATCATCACACTATTCAAATCCTTCAATTATTCCATTTCCACATTCTATTAATTAAATTTGATTCACTTTTTAAGGAGATTGATCTTCGACACTTTCACATAAATTATTATATGTGTTTAAATAATACCCATAATTGCATTACAGACAAAGATTTTTTATACATATACTACATTAAAATATACATGATAATTAAACGACATCCAAATCATAAGACAATATGTATTCAACCATTTCTATCTGTATTTCAAAAGACTTTTATATTATTTTTTTAACAATACACTAACCATATACACAATTAGAACAATGATCTTCACATTAATATCTACAATTAAAACATCCATCAAAAGGATCATTATTACCATCATCACATTATTCATCTCCAACAGTTATTTTATCACCACAAATCGGAATGCAAGGATTTCTACCAGTTTCATAATAATACAAGTCAAAGTTATATTCAGGTAAACAATTAGAAAGTCCTACTACAACCATATTCTAAATTCCACAAAATCCAAGTTGATTATCATTTTAACATGCAATCTCCAAAGTTAATTCCTTATTTGTTGATATTTAGTAATTAATAGATTTATCTACTTTATAGAGATATAATATATAATTATTAGGCCATTTTTAATCATCTATATTTAAATTATTTCCTTAATAAGTTGAATTTAAAGTTAAGCTTTCTTATTCTTGATCATTAAACTTATATTTAAATTTGTTTTTACATAACTCAATATCTCCTACAATCACTTCAAAAAATATTCTAATAAATAAGAACTCTTAGGTCCAACTTTTAGAAAATTTAAATACTGCATTAACCCAAACTAATGGTCCTCCAAATATTCTTTTATTCGAAAAATAGCTATAATAAATATCATCACACCTTTTTAGAAACTATATTCATTATTTGTCGTTGTTGATATCATTTAAAATATCGCATTTGTAGAGCTTTTTGTTGTTGATAGATCATGAAATTCTCTAACCAATTCAGTAATTCTTAAATTTTTATTCTTTTAAAGAATGTCAATATTACTTAAACAATTAGTTCCATTTACTATTGTGTAATTTGGACATTTATCAATACATTACCCAAAATAGAGATATTTTTAGGGTTTACAAATTAAACATCTTTATGTGTAAGTACATTATTCACAATCAACTTCACATTTAAATTAAATATCTAAGAAATATTATTATTTATTACTTATATTTTCAATACATACTTAATCTTCATCATAGTCTTAATTATTATTACATTTATTTTAACATCCACCTGGAATTTGGAGGAAATTCTAACCTAATTTATTCTTACAAGAATCACAGGAATTATTAGATAAAATAATATCATCATAACAAGATAAGCACTATTCTTTTCCTTCTCCTGAACAAGTCTTACAAGTCTTGTAACATCTCTCTAAAATCAATTAGACATTTCTAAATAAAAAGCTTTCATTAATAAATTATTCATTAGCTGTACTTTGTAATTAAAGTTTCACTTATTACTAAGAATGGGGAAGTTCTTTCAAGTAGGATTTTCGGGACAACTTCTCATTATATGTAGAGCACTATTATAAGTTTTGACCAGATGCAGTTTGTAGGTACAAATCTTCATGGAAAGAATTTTCTAAAATTTCTACCCTAAAATATTCATTTTCATCAATGGAATAATAACTATATATATCAATATACAATTATATTCTAAAGTGAGGTAGAATTGTGTCAATTGTGTTCAAAATTTGATGGCATGGTTAATTTTTATCTTTTAGCTCTACTAAATCCATTCCTTTACTACAAGTGAATACAGAGGTTGGATGAGTACTTGAGCCTTTACAGATCCAATTTGTAGTTAACACAATCTGTTTGTTATTAAATTCTTCATAAACAGAATTCAAAACACAATTTGCTCTCTGGAATACTAGAAGCAGAGTCAAATAAAAGATTAGTCGAAACATTATTAATTTATTTATTATATTTGAAATGTATAACCAATGTACAATATTTCAACCTTAAAATTCAATATGTTTATATTTAAGTTTATATGAATATTTTAATAAAAACAAGGTGTTGCGAAAAGGCATCTTTGAAATAATATTAACAGGAATTAATAATAGTTCACCAATCGATCATGATGGTTTATTTTTTGATGTGAAGACAGTTAACTTTTCAATGTCAAATTTGATAGTATTAATTATTATTGTATCCATATTGTAAAATTTCTGTTGGAACAAACTTATGTACAAGTTACTATTATTAACCATTTGTCTGCCTGATATTCAAAATGCTCTCTACTGCAAAAAATTCATATACCCAATAATTCATTTAGTCTAATTACTTAAGATTAAACTCACAAATCTTTGATTTAGTCTACCAAAAACTTTATAAATTTTAAAAATTATTCAAACTCTTCAAGTCCTAAGGTGATAAAAATGTACATTATTATCACTCAAGTATTCCAAAAAAAATTAGATATAATTTAAATGAAAATTCTGGATTGTCATATATTTTTATGCAACCATCACTTTTATTTTCAATATATGTTAGCGATTTCACATTTTTTAGAGATTTTTTCAAGTATTCAATTTATTCTGTCAACTTGTTTACTGCAATTTAACAATTGTTAAGAATAAAGACTATATTCTCAATTTTTATCTGCTATTTCTTACATTTAGAATTACAAATATATATAATATATTATATTCCCAAAATATCATCTATAATTCAATTATATTATTTCAGGTTAACGATAATGGCCGTCCCAAAAATTTTCTATGAATATGACCTTATCTAAAGTAGATTCCATATAGTCTTGCTTTTTACCTAATACACTGAGTATTTATTGCAAGAAATTTTGTTTTGACATATATTTGATGGATATGCTTGTGGAAATTATATTCTTTTTACAGTAAGAAAATAATAATAATTCGATCATTCTGTGATATTTCAACAAGGACATTATCAAACTCATCATGGATTCATGGATGTTACAGATTTGGGAAAACCATCTTGTATATCACTTGTCTCATTGAATTTCTTTGCACATTAATAGACTAAGAGTTTTACATGAAGCCATAGTTTGGAAATTTCAAAATAACAACTCAAATATGCATTGGCATGATACCTGTATTAATCCTAAAGGGGTTTTGAAAAGAACCTGATAGAAAAGAGAATAAGTTAAATCAATAAATATTAGACAAACATCATAATTAGAACATTTCAAACAAAACATCGCCCGCTCAATCTGTGGGTAAATGATTTAATACAAATATAAAAGAAACATCTGAAACATCTATGAATAAGTACATCAATTATTAATATCTGATAACAAAAAACCATTAATTGATTAACTTAGATTCAATATTAAATAGGGTATGACTATTTATATGCTTCGCTGAATGATTAATGAACATAGATTGACTTACCTTCCTTTATCAGTTTATTTAACTTTATTCAAGAAGGATCGCTTATTACAATCTTATAAGGGACAATGGGAAAACGTTATTTGATAAGATTAACAAGATTTTTGGATGTGATCAAAATAATCTGCAAATCTTTGGTTATTAGACCTTCTCTAGCTTATAATTTACATATGGTTACAACTGCTAGTTCCTAATAAATGTTAATTTAATTAATATATAAAATAATATGCCAAATAGCTTTCATTTGTATTAATGGAAATGATTAATAAGTTTCAAGTTTTTTCTTGGGCTTGAATTTAATATTCTTCATAAAATTTCTCTTGATCAATAGAATCATGAACTCTTTCGAATAATTAATCAATAAGAAATATCACATTATCAAATCATGCTAAATCATATAATTAATGAATTCTTGATGTTATATAATTAATTAGTTTAACAATAACAGCTACAACTATTATATCATTCCAAGAAATGGCAAAAATACAAAATTTTCCACCTTTTATATGAAAACTAAATATCGCTTAATCTATATAATTAATTTAGTTTATTTAGGTTTTGCCATCACTGATATCTCATCAATATTGCTATCCAAAATGAAAAATTTTCTTAAACTTTGAGCAAGATATTGATAATGAGGGTGTTATATTAAAATTTTTTTTAATTATCACAAAAAGGCAAAGAATTTCAAACCATTTTACTATTTTTAGTTCCAGATACATTTATATGATTTTATAAATGATTACCAAAGTATCTTAGAATATATTATTTCTCATAATTTAACAATCAATTAAGGATGAACTCCATACTTTTTAAACTTGCATTAAGAATCCATTTAATATCTGAAATCAATTTAAACTTTACAATTGCTTTATTACTTGCTTATTATAGAGCAATAATAAGTTTCATATTATTCGCTAATTTCTTTTTATTTTATGGTCTAAAAACATTAATTCTAATGAATTAGAAACAGATTGTTGATGCTCTGTATTTTTTATCTACTAATAAGTGGTTTTAAGAATAGTAATAATAGAGTAATTCACTTTCTAATGTATTCCTTAATTAAAATACAGATTCTACAAATTAGAAACATATTATGTAAAAAAATATTTCTGGAATCAATTTTCTAATGTCTTTAAATATCCTTTTTGCAAATCTGAATTTTTCAACTAAAAAATAAAATAGACAATCAGGAATATCAAATTTATTTCCTTGTCATTCGATTAATATAGCAATAGATGATACAAATCTTATAAGAATTTCAGAAGTAATAAATAATAATGAAAAGCTGGAATCTCACTACCTTATTATGATTATTCATATTTCTGAATTAATTCTTACTTCTTTAATTATTTCCTAATGCATTTATATTATTCAACATTAAACTAAATTATCCTTCAGGATATATTCTAACAGATCTATTGAATTGGGTTTGATAAAACATGTGATAATGCTCCAGTTAAATTAATCACTGATTAAGCATGCAAATACTTTATTTCAACATTTACAACGGGGTTGTAGTATAGCCCTAAAAGATTCAACTGTGTATCAGTCATCCAGGATATGTTGAAGAAGAAGCTAATTTTAATACTGATTATCTTAATCTGCAACTTCTAATAGGTGCCAAGATTTGAGAGCATTTGATAATTACACTTCTGTTGCTTAATATGAAAGATAATAATTGTGGTGATTTTTTAGTGTTGAGATCAATTAAATGTAGAAATAATATTAACTTAAAAGAAATGCGCTTTAAAGAAACCCATTTGTGAAGATTATAAAAATTAAGGGGCTTGTGAAGCAAATAATATGGGTGTAAAGTAAAAATGTGTAGGAGTTCCAAGGTATGTTTTAGTGCACCAATTATTTTGGAACAGATAAAAGCACTTTATAGCATATCTCTTATGTTTATTTAATTACATTCCAATTCCTTAAAATGCTTTTTTATACAGTGCATAAATTTTGTTTGAATCATTGCTGGAAAATTAAAACGTGATGAATTATTCATCTTAAACTTTTAATTCTATTTTGATATTTGGATTTCCAATCTCCCATAAGATAATATTGCATTTCTTTTCTAAATGGAATTATATATAAGCCAATTTTTCGTAATATGAATTAGAATAATTAGCAACTAGTTCAATAGCTTAGTTATAACCTAAGAGTGCCTCGTCTTCATTCTTTTAATTTTATAGAAATTTCCTATTCATCATAATATTATGATACCTTTCTTACAAATGCCAAACTAAATTTATCATCAATTCAATCACTTATTTTAATATAGTAAAGTATTATCTCTATTTCCAATTGCATTTTTCACACATCCTAAATATAGAGAAGACCTTTAACCTATTCTAATGTAAACTAAAGAATATTGGAGATTAATCTGATAACATTTTTTGCAATCATTTAAAACATCCGTAAAATTATTTTTTCTAAAAAACCACCAAGCTTAATTTATACTACGTCTTACGTCTTAAATTTAAAAGAAAAATTGGCGCATTTGGATTTTCGTGTGTTTATGTATTATTTTCTTTACTAAAGTAAGAAGCTGAGAACTCTACTTGTAATTGGTGGTGAAGAAATTCCTGGTCAAATTCTTTAAAATGCTATTTTCAAGGATAAAATGGTTTTCCAAATATTTGAAATTTAATGATGCTTAATTCATCTTGAAAAGTCATTTAATCTTCAAAGAAAGATTCATATACATTAATTCTATCACTTTTAGCCTCTAATAGAGTATTATGGAAAATCAGAAATGGTGAATTAAACATTAATTACCACCATGTCTTTAATCTCCTATTAGAGTAAGAATCAAGGATATAAAGGATAAGTGCTATTTGAGTTTGGAAGTGGATAGAAAATAAGAATTTGTTATTGTGTCAAATCCCATCAGTGAAGTGAAAATCATATTTTATAAACACTCAAATCTTGATTATGATTATAATATTGAATATATACTAATCTAATCTTTTTCTAATTAGATCATTATCGAGATTTAATATTTCAATCTATAGGTCATAATTGTAATCTATTTGCAATTCCAATTTTACACTCGATTTGAATTAATCAATTAAGATTTGAATATTCTTGAAATTATAAATATTAATTTATATTTATTCTCTTATTTCATCAATTAAAAAAAAATGTCAATACTTTTTACTAATAATTATATATTGAGAATTCATTTGTTTTTGCAATATATCAAGTAATTTTTTCGTTTTTTTAATATAATTGAATTATATTAGCTTGGATTGTAATCCAATTGAGTAGTACTTTTACTCATTATTATTTTAGGTCATTTTTTAGATTTAATTTTAGTAGCTTTTAACAGATTCATTAATGCGTTGTGATATTTTTTAATCTAAAGAAAAATGTAATTATCTATTGTTAGGGAATAATTGCAAGAAAAAAAAAAATTTAATTGAAATATAATGATTTCTTTGAATATAGCCTTTAATTATTACATTTTATTTTACTTCCACATTCATTTTCAGTTGCCAATTATATTTGTTCTTAACATAAATGTAAATAAACGAAAATTTTGGTACAATTTATTAAGTTTCATTAAAGTAACAGAAATAAAACATCGACTAGTTATTCTTATTAATTCAAAAGTAAATAATTAATTTATTTTTAAGGCTATCATTTTTCTAATTTATCTAATGGGATACATAACTTAAATATATTAAAATGATATGAGGAAGTAATAGAATTGTTTATTAAAAATCTAATTAGGCTTTCTTGTTCCAATTTATAAAAATTACAATCGTTTATTTGTAAAGCGATTAGAACTAAGAAATATCTATGCTTACAATCTAAAAGGTATTTTTCTGAAAAGAATTCTTTCAAATATATCTCTAGAGTATTATTCTTTTATTCCTGATATTTTTCAAGTTCAATCCTCAGTTATGGAAAGTTATATTATAAAAATTTATTCTAAAATAATTAATTTATGATTTTTATATTTAAGTTTATTAAATTAATTATTAATAAATTTCTTTAAAAGTATTAAACTCTATCAATTATATTCGATCATTCAAACCATAAGTTTATTCTAAAAAATTTTATAAATATTCATTTCTAATTCAATAAAAATCATAATTTATTAACCCTAAAATTAATTTTTTAGTCTTAAAAGATTTCGAATTATTTGTATTCAAATACAATATTATAAGAGGAATTTTAAATATCAGCTCTTTGAAATAGTTTTGCAAATTATTTAAGATCTATATCTAGAATAGGCATGTATAATTATTTATTTCTAAAAATGGAATATAAGAATTAAGAAGAATAAAAGGATTAAATTCAAAATACTTAATCTTGGCTATAAAAAAATTGACAAAAATGCATTATTCTTTGTATTTTTTACAATAATTTATGATCCATGAATAAGAAAAAAAATTATTTAAATATTTTGTTTCTGAAAGATTATTCTTAAAAAATGAAGAATTGCTTATTTAAACCTATGTGTTGTAAACTAAATATATATATTGTTTATCAAATAATACAAAATGGTTATTTTTGATCTAATTAATTTTTTTTGATTACGTAACATCAAGGTATATATAATTATTTGTTTTCAAATTAACCATTATTTAATGATTTTTTAATTTAAGTCTTGCATTCTCTTGGCTATTCTTGTTCGCTAAGTTGTTTCGAATTGGAGGCTTGTGGATTCTAGTTTTACAGAGGTGGATATAACTGAGAACAATTGGAAAATGAGAAATGATTGTGGCAGTTCTTCTGATTCCTCATTTGAAAAAGAAAAATGTGGATAAAATTAATTGACCTATGCTAGTTTGTCAAAAAGTAAGAAATAATTATTGAAATCATTTAACAATAAAAGCTTTTAAGTTTAAGTTATTCTTGATGTTTTTTTTTGGTGATTCTGATGGTCATAATTCATGGATAAAAGTGATGTATGATACCAATATTGCATCAGAAGTCGAATAACAACTTTATAAAAGAGATTATAAAGATAACGATCTAATTTAATATAGTATTAGAATTTGTAATGACAGTTCAAGCTTAAGTAAATTTGAATTAAAGACTATTGTAAGTACGATTGGAAATTCAAATACTAATAATTCTACAATCAAAATTTGTGTTGATCCAGAAAAAGATTACATGAGATTAGGTATTAGAAATTTATTAGTTTTTGTCAATACTTGCTATCCTACTTGTTTAACCTGCAATGGCCCATTAGAAAATAATTGTTTAACATGTTTTAATGCTTAAAGTTTATCAGGAGGAAAATGCAAATGTATCTCTAATTAATAGTTTTCTGAAACATATATAGGTTGTCGATAAGAATGCGATAGAGATTATTCAATAGCTCGTTATGATAACATTTGTGTGGAAGACAGAAGAATTAAATCAAAATTTACATTGTTTGAAAATAATATAATCCCATAATCAAATTATTATCGATATTCGCCATTAGAATTTCAAGAAGACAAATTTCATTAAAAAAATACAGATTTAATTTATGAAAATTGTAATGGAATAAGCTTTATAGGTACTCTCTAATTTAGTGAAGGTATGATTTATTAAATGAGCTTATAAAACATAGTGAAATTTATAAGAGTTCGAATTACATTTTATTTATTTAATTTACAAGAGTAAAGCAAAATTGAAATCTTACATAATAACTAATTATAATCTAGAATAATTAAAGATTCAACAGATTTCTAATTTGAAAATTTGATATCAATATTTCAAGAAACTGGAAATTGTTTAAATAGTTATACTTTATTAAGAGTTGAGATGATATTTTAAACCTATGATTCTAAACCAAAACTTACTATTTAAGGTTAATTATAAGATGACAATGAATTTTGGGGACTTAGAAATATAACAGTAGACACTGGATTTTGCCAAGAAAATTGCTTGATATGTTCTGACTTTTCTAATTGTTAATAATGTAATGCTGGATTTAAATTACATAAAAATATGTGTATTTAATCATGTCCAATTCATTCATCTAATTGTGTTGGCTATGAAGAATTTATTCCATGTATAAATGATTTAAAAATTTTAGATTCTCGATACCTTGCAACAGGATTCTACGATTTGAATATGACAAAAGATGATATAGATTCCTTTTATGATGATGCAACAGATGCACCTAAAAATTATGCAACAGGTTAAAAATTTTCTTTTTTCAACAATAAAATAGTTTTAGGAGGAATATTAGTGTGGAATGATGGATCTTATAAAAAGACATGGGCAATTTAAGACCCTCATTATGCGGTGACAGTTTATTTTAATATTACATATGGAGATGCATATAGTGGTTAATTTAAGTATAAAATGGGTTCTTCTAGCAATCTTTATTAAGGTCCTTATACCTATCCTGGAGGAGAATCAAATTTGATTGGTCGTACTTTTTCAGAGAAAACAGTTTTCTTTAATGTAAGTATCCCAAACTTTTATGATAATAATTTTTATGTTGAATTTAAATGTGATGTTAGTACACCTAATAGAACAAAAGAGTTTTGTGCAATATCTGAATATTTCATAGTTGTTCATTATGTAACATTATTTTATTATATAGTGTCGTCCATTTTGTTCAAGTTGCACTAGTTTAAATGCATGTTCAGGCACTAGTTCAAATTGTGGAATAAGTCAATATTTGTAATTCAATTCAACAACTGAAACTTATAGTTGTAAAGATTGTAATTAACCTGGATGTTCTACTTGTACGAGTGCTGAAACATGCACTTAATGTATAAACACTGAATTTTATTTATATAATGGAATGTGTTTGTGTAAACCATTTAAATTTTATTAAACAAGCACTTGTGTTTAATGTAATAAGTATTGTGAAAATTGTTTTGGAAATTCTAAATATAATTGTATTACTTGTGTTGAGGATTATCACAGAGCCATTCAAAAAAATTAATGTTAATGCCAACCAGGATATTATGAGGTATTAATTTGCCTTGCCTTCCAATATGTGGAGACTAATTTGTTGTGGATTAAGAAGATTGTGATGATGGTAATTATAATCCATTTAATGGTTGTCATAATTGTAAATTTGCTTGTAACTTTGCATGTGATATTTGTTTTAATGGAAAATGTTATGCATGTAAAAGTGGATATGAATTATATATTGGCGATTGTCGTTCTATTTGCTAAAATAAAACTCTTACTTTATTATAATAATGTAATGAAAACTCTCTTATTTGTGTTAATTGTTAATATAAATGTTCTATATATTGTATTAATTGCCATTTTGGAATATGTCTTTAATGTGATGAAAATGCTGGATGGTATGTTTAGATTGATGGAACATGTAATACCATATGTGGTGATGGAATAATCGTTAGTTTAACTGAAAGTTGTGATGATGGTAATTCTATTCCGTATGATGGATGTAATGGTTGTTAATTTTAATGTAATACTTATTGTCTTACTTGTATCAATTAATAGTGTCTATCTTGCTAAATTGGTTATTAATTAATTCAAAATAGATGTTTTGCAAAATGTTAGGATTCCATTCTAGTATATCCTGAATAATGTGAAGATGGAAATTTAACTCAATATGATGGATGTTTTAATTGCGAATTTTAATGTTCTAGATATTGCATAGATTGCTAATTTGGGATCTGTTAGAAGTGTGATCAATTAAATGGATGGTATTTACAATCAAATGGAACTTGTCAAAGCCTATGCGGAGACAATATAATTGTTAGAGAAGTTGAAGAATGTGACAATAATACCAATCTTACTAGACCTTGTAATCAATGTTAACATACATGTGAATAAAATTGTTTAGTATGTAATTAAGGTTTGTGCAGTGTTTGTATTAAAGGATATAAACTATTATAATCAATATAAAAATGCATTCAAATTTGTGATGATGGGACTTTAGTTAAGATTAATAACATATGTGAGGATTATAATAATCTGTAGAATGATGGCTGTTATTCTTGTTAAATTAGTTGTTAATCATCTTGTACTTAATGTACTTTAAATGGATGCCAAGAATGTAATAAATAAGGATGGAAATTAAATGAATAATAATATAAATGTGAATCTATTTGTGGAGATGGAATAATTGTACAAGATGATGAGTGTGATGACTTAATAAATTAAAACTGTTTTCAATGTAAATATAAATGTTAAGATTCTTGTTTGATATGTCATTAAGGTTATTGTTTCAAATGTCAAAAAGGATGGTAACTTAATTTAGAAAAGAAATGTTATCCTTGATCTGGGGATTCTTTTATTGTTGGAAATGAATAATGTGATGACAATAATTTTATAATGAATGATGGCTGTTATCTTTCATCTTTTTAATGTTAGAAATAATGTTTAAGCTGTTAATTTGGAAAATGTATCTATTGTGACCAAGGATATTGGATTCTAGATAATGAATGTTATGAAATTTAGAATGATGGATATAGCATTGGAAATGAATAATGTGATGATAATAATTTATAAGCAGCAGATGGTTATTATAGTGTCTTCTTTGATTGTCCTAAAGATTGTGAATACTTTTAGTAAGGATTATGTTTAAAATGTAATTAAGAATCAAAATAACTTAATTAAATTAATAATTATTGTGAATAATTTTGTGGAGATGGATATTTATCAAATGATGAATAATGCGATGATGCAAATAATATTCCCTATGATGGGTGTCATGAATGTAAATTTTAATGCAATAATTATTGTCATATTTGTAGCAATGGCGAATGTCTATAATGTTGATGATGGAAATCTTATTCCATATGATGGGTGTTATGAATGTAAATTCTAATGCTAAGAAGAATGTATCGATTGTGTTAAAGGTGTTTGTAATAGTTGCATTGATCGAGGATGGATACTTAATCCAAATCATGTTTGTACTAATAAATGTGGAGATGGAATCACTATTGATTAGTTTGAATAATGTGATGATGGTAATGATATTCCTTATGATGGTTGTTATTAATGTGAATTTCAATGCGAATTACTCTGCACTTTATGTGAATAAGGAGTTTGCTTTGAATGCAATTAGTTTGGATGGATTATCTAAAATAATTAATGTACTTCTATTTGTGGCGATGGAATTGTAGTTGGAAATGAATAATGTGATGATATGAACTCTATTTAAAATGACGGTTGCTATTAATGTAAATTCATGTGTGATCAATACTGTCTTGATTGTTAAGAAGGAGTTTGTAATGAATGCCTTTAAGGAATGAATTTAATCAATTAAACTTGTTAACCAATTTGTGGAGATGGATTTCATCTTTTATCATTTGAATAATGCGATGATGCAAATAAAGATAATGGTGATGGTTGCGATTCCTAATGTTAAATTGAAAATGATTGGATATGCATTACTAATGCAAGTTTTATTTCTGTTTGTTTAATCTCAAAATAACCAGATTTTAATATTATTGTATTAACACCTGATCCTCAACAATTTTGTGATGTTTAAATTCAATTCAATCAACAAGTTAAATTATCTTCAAAGATCTTCAATGATTTAAATGAAAATATCGTAACTACTATAATTAATTTATAATAAGAGAATTATAGTATTCAGTTGACCAAAGAAATTAAAATTGCTAAAAATGAACTTACAGATTTAGTACTTTCGTTTAGAATTTAGTTTTTATCCACTATTGAGCATCCTGTATTTTAAATAGAATTTCAAAATGACCCACTCATCTCAGAATATAATTAGACTCTTACTAAAAGTTAAGGTTAAATAGAACTTTCTACTCCTATTTTTTTAGCATAAACCGAAATACAAATAGCAGAATAAGCTTCAGGTTTTAATTAAGCAATAATAATTTCTCTTGCAAGTCTATCCTCTATTTGTTTATTGACAGGATAATCAGATATCTTTTGGAATCTAATGGATTAATTACAATATTTATCATATGTAAAGTACGTAAATATTGATTTCTCTCCTAATCTCAACATATATTTTGAAGTATTTAAGTTTGTAACTATCTCACCTTTGATATCAGCTTTAGGTATAGATAAATTATTTGCAGCTCTTGATGGAAGTGAAGATTTTATTGTTGTAACTAATTACAAATTTCTCAAAGATGATATCAATGCATATTTCCTTTTAAATTTTTAGAGTTTTTTATTTTGCCTTATAACAACATACCTTAGTTTTTATAGTGCATAAATCATTTACCATCTTCTCAAAAAAATTGGTCACATTCAAATCAAATAACTTGGTTTTACAATTGGTAAACTTGTAATAACTTTTCGAACAACACTTTAACATAAAATCTCTGAATTTTATCATAATGCTATTTTAAGATTACTTTTATCAAATTCATATGATTTATCTTTTGCTTGTGCCATTCAATTAGCATATTATCCAAAAACAGCAATACTGTATTGATCATAAATTATTACATATCATTTCTAATCTATGTTAGTGTGGTTGTAGCTATTTTATATATTATTAATATTTCAAGCAATTTTTCAAAATAAAATACTTTGAAAAATAAATCGAAATATTAAGCAATATTTGATGGAATTAAAGATAACAATTAAATGTGGACTTTTCAATATAATTCACTTTTACTTATCAAGAAACTAATTTTTATTTCTAGTATTGTATTTTTTTATAAATTAGATTTTCAAATTTCCTATAAGACAATGGATATATTTAAGTAATAGCCATATCATTTATATAATCATTATTTTTGATTCATTTTATTCTCAATAAGCCATTAGAGGATCAATTTGAATATTTTAAAACTTTAATCACTGAAACATTGGTAATATTTAATGTAATTTCATTTTTACTTTACCAATACAAAAATGAGATCGATTTAAAACCGCAAAAAGTAATCCTTTTAGGTTGGATGCATATTTTTTCATTTTCACTCATTTTAGCAGTAACTTTTATTCTAGATTCATCTAAATAAATAAAAAAATTACCTAAATTTATAAGAGATGCATTAAAGAAACCAGAAAAGATACAATAACCTATCTTTTATGGATGTTATTGATGGATCACATCAACATGTAATGTAATCCCTTGATTATATAAATAAATATTAACAAAAAATGACAAATTTAATTTTACATGTATAAAATTACAATTAATTAATGGAAATAGCTCAAAACTCTTTTTTTTCTTTTATAATCTTAATTTTTATAATAATTTTTATGCAACATTTCATTATTTTTTTATTTAAAATCACTAAAAATTATTTAATCTTATCACATTTTCATTTACATAAACAAATCAAAGTTAAAGAATTCAATGAGATGAAATCTATCAATTTAATAATTTTAAAATATCTCGTATTTCCTTGATTGATTTATCAATAAGTATTTCATTCACAATGCTTAATCTATGTTAATATTCATTTGTTTTATCATAAAACTTGCTTAATAAAATCCAATACCTTAAGTAGTTTTTGATTTACTGGAAATATGAACGAGGATATACTTAATTTTAGCTTCTAAGATAGAGAAATTTGAATATTCTGTCAATTTTTATCTATTTTTTATTTTTGAGTTGAAAAATCCAATAATTAAATGATTTAATTCGGTCAATTTTTTTCATAAAAAATGAAAAGGATTTCAAATATATATAGAGTCTGATTATAAGAAAAAGAATTACAATAAGTCTTTTACTTATTTAAATATAAATAATTATAAAATCCATTTATAGACTAGTCATGAATATTTCCAAGAAAATCTTTGGATTAGTGAGCAAAAAAGTTCTTACTAAATAGAATTAATAAAAAAAAATTTTAAGTCTTTTAAATTTTATCTACATGAATGAAGGTGATAATGATTTTAGACAATAAAGATTTTTAGATTATAAAAAATTAACAAAGATAATTTTATGAGAGGTTTATCAAAAATTAGAGAAAAAACAAAAAATAAGGATTATGCCGTAAGAATTCCGATTTTTGGTTTCTGAAACTCTTGAAATTTACAGTGAATTATTATTAGGGATCTAAAATTCTATAAAGTTGTAATACGGCTAATTAAACTAAAATATAAATGAAAAGGTATAATTTTATACGATTAAGTTTCACTCAATGATAAATGACTGGTCGAGCAATTAATCTATTCTATTGAAGAATTCATTCATGATTTAAAAAAAGAATTGGATACATTAGAATTCATTTCGCAAAAAGAATAAATGGAAATTAGTATTTATTCACATCAAATAAATACTGTTTCTTATGTTTTCTTTTTATTAAATCACTTTTAAATTGAATCAGATCAATTTGCTGATATTAAAAAATTAATGAATTTGAAATTCTCTAAAATACTATGTAGGACGATAAAACAAATTATCTTCTCAAGCAACTAATCCAAACATACAATATTCATAATTACAACATTTGTTTAATTAATACTCATATTATTGAAAAACCCTAAATCTATTGACAGTGTTTCAAAGCTAATTATCCAAGAGGAAAGTAATGGTAAGAATATGCTATAAAAAAGTTGCTAAAAGGTTAAGTTTATCATGAAGTTAAAAGGAGTAAATAGATAAAAAAAATTAAAACAAAAATTGCGTATTTGAGGATTAAACTTCTAATAGAAATCATTCATAACTGGAAAATAAAAGAAGATATAAAACAATTATTTCTTTTTGCTAGATCTTCTTAAAAGTTTAAATGTTATAATTGATTAATTCTATAATATCATTTTTGATAGATTAGCAGACGCTGTAAAATAAAATTTGATCAACTTAATCTATTAATGGTTCTAAATTATGTATTTCCTTATTAATATCCTTAAAGAAATCATATAATAATTACCCGTGAGAGAAGGATATTACTTCATTGATAATAAAAATAAACCTTTAATCAAATAGATGGAAATGCAAATGTTTATATCGAAAGATCAATCTATAGATATCAACCTAAGTGAAACACTAGATGATTCAACTGTGACTAGTAGTTATGATTATGATAAAACATTAAAAATTTGAGAATTCAAAATTTCAAATTCAGATATTAATAATAAATTATTCAAAGATGAACAAAATGATAAGATTCAATGTAACTAACTCTTTAAGAAAAGAAATAAGTTTAATTTTTCTTGAAATTTTGCAGCAGTAGATATAGATAGAATTGTCTTAACAGCTCAAACGTAATTTGAAGCATAAAATGATAATCCTGCTTTTGAAACTGAAGATAATTGTGTTTCAAGAATCAAAATTGAAGTAAGATTCTGCAATGAGTAAATCTGTTAAACTTAATTGAATAACCAAAAGTCTTCTTGGGCTAAAATTTATTTGTTGCTTAAATAGTTAAATAAAATGGCTTTGAATTATTGAAGGTTGGTGATGCTGGTTTCACTATTGATGGTGATATTAATAAAAAATTAAACCAACTTTCATTTTAGTATAATCTTTAGCTTAATTTTAAATTATGGAATTTAATAGAATTCAAGAACAATATATCTCATCTTGTAACCTTTAACTACTGTTTCAAGCAATGAATTATTTCAAACAAAGAAATAAATTCTATAAATTGACTATTTCTAATGTTTAGGTTTTTTTGGTTGTTTTTATGTTTATTTCATAAATAAATAATGATTTAGATTTTAAGTAATTTAATTTATGAAATCAAATAGAAGCAAAAGTAAAGATTAGGTTCAAAAACATGTCAAATGTAGCAAGTTTATCTATTATTATAGTAATCGAATAATAATCTTGGTAAGAGGGATTATACGAAGAAGAAGGAGTTATGTTTAAAGAAAATAATTTACAGCCAATAAAATTTTTTGTGGAATATACAACAGATAAATATATAAAATATATTGTGGATGGAAATATATTGAGAGAGTAATTCCTAATTTATGAATAAATTAGATAATAAATCATTGAAGCTAAAGTTTAGCCTGAGATAATGAGAAACTTAGAATAAGTCAAATATCTTAGATGGGAAGGAGAGTTAGGAATGAATAAACAAAAAATAAAAAAATGGAATGCTTTTTGGAGAGGAGCTAATTTAAATATTGGAGGGGAGTATAATTAAAATGGTTAAAAATAAGGAAAATGGATAGATTTATTTCCAAATTTTTATGAGTAAATTTTTCATTTATTCAAATAAGCTTTTGTAAAGTTACTATTTAAGGAATGTATATATAAGACAGAAAATAAGGAGAATGGGTTTATTATTTTGAAAATTAATAAATGTATTTTCTTAAAAATTAATCATAGAGCTGATGGAATTTATAATGAAAATGGATAAAAAAATGGAACATGGATTGAGCTTTACGATTATTATAATAGGTTAAAATTTATCAATGTTTAGTGAAAATATGATAACGTTTCGAGGAAAATATAACAAAGGAGTGAAATTCGGAAGGTGGGATACTTATTATTAAAAGAATTTTGATGATCAAACAAAAATGATGTGAGTTTATCAATTTTTATTAATAGTGGTGGAGGAGAATTTAATTTATAAGGAAAAAAAAATGGGAGATGGATTGAAATACATGAAAATTATTTTAGGTTTTTGAAGTATTATAAAAATTAGTCTATGTAACATTTAATATTAGGGAGAATATAATAATGGAAAAAAATAAGGAAAATGGATCATTTAATTTAAATATATAGACTATTTTTAAGATTATTAAAAAATGTAATATGAATATAAACTTATTTTAGAGGGGGAGGATCATATGATGTAAATGAAATAAAGATAGGAAGGTGGATAGAACTAAATGACAATTTTAAAGAGTATTTAATATATAGTTATAATAGCACATCCTAAACTATTTTGGAAGGGGACTATATTTAAGGGAAAAAATAAGGAAAGTGGACAATCAAATTTAGATTAAATGAAAAACATAGATTTAAAATATTGTATTATTCTGCCGATTGATATTTAGAGGAGGAGGAGATTATGATATTAATGGAAGAAAAAATGGCAAATGGATAGATACAAATCATAATTTCTAGATGTAAATTAATAATTTTATGCTTTACAATTAGAGATAACTAAATGATTGATATTGGAGAATATAAAAATGGAAAAAGAAAAGGGAAATGGATAACGAAGTACAGGTATGAAATAAATGAACCTTTTACTTAAATGTAATAGTTTTTATTTATATTTGAAGTGGTGAGGGTATTTATGATGATTCAGAAATAAAAAATGGAAGATGGGTCGAAATTTTTTAAAACTTTCAAAAGTAATAAACTTAAAGATATTTTAATTAGTTCATGTTAAGTGACTTTGGTTGGAGATTATTTAAAAGGAAATAAAATAGGGAAATGGAATATTTTATAAAGATTTTAGGAAAAAGAGAAATTTATATAAATGTTTAATATTTTTTATAAATTTAGTGGTGGAGGAACTTATGATGAAAAAGGTTTTAAAAATGGTTAATGGTTGGAATTGATTGATAATTTTAAAATGTAAATTTTTTTCTAAAAGCAGTTCAAATTAAGTAATTCTGAAAGGAAATTATTTATATGGTAAGAAATTAGGCTAATGGGATACATTTTATAAAAAGAATCCACAATAAGAGTTTTAAATTATGTAATACTCATTTTTTTAATTTTTCTAGTGCAGGAGGCCTTTATGATGAAAATGGTTTCAAAAATGGTAATTGGATTGATTTGGATTTTCGTTTTGGTTTTGGGCAAAATTAAGTAATTTTAAAGGGACAGTATAAAAATGGTTTTAAAGTTAATGAATTATAAGAAGAGGTTTAAAATAATGTTTGATAATTATAAAACACACATTAAATTAAGCAAGAAAAAATAATTTTACAAGCTTTTAAATTTAAAATCATCATCATATAAAAGATCTAATTAGAATTTGTTTCAAATTTCCTTAACATATGAATCTAAATTAATTCCACTTAAAGGAGGGATTTACTACTCCTTATTGATAAATCATTTAAAGTCTGAATTGTTAAATATTAATCTTATAAATATGTTATTAAATTAATTATCACTAAATTTTTAGATATATAAGATTATTTTTTGAGAACTTTAATTCTATAATATTTATCACAATTAAAATGAAAGAAAAAGTTTTAAAAACTTATGATCTAATCAAAATGCAAAATTAGAAATTTAAAATCATCTTTATTTACTTAATTATTTTTTAAATATATTCTTTAAATTTAAACAAAATTTTCTTTGAATACAATTTTAAAGTAGTAACATTTTTAATTAAATATATACTGAATTATTTATGTGATAATCTTTTATAATGTTGAACTTCTATTTTGATAGTTTAATAAATTAGAATGAGATATTGTAGATCCAGGAATATTATGCAAAAACTTTTAGATCCTAATGTATTTAATAATTTTAATTTTGAAAAGGATCTAAAAATACAAAGTATATAAAAATGATTAATATTTAATTGACAAACATCTAATCAAAATATCATATATGCTATAAGGATTTATGATAATTTAAGAATCTATTAAAAATTTGTAGTCTGATTATTAGTCTAATTTCATGTATTATTAATGTTGGAATAAGGTTACATAAAATAATATATGGCAATTAATATTTCATGCATGTAATACTGTCAGTATAAAAGATCCAACCTTACCGAGTGCAGACACATATATATTATTCAATAATCACAATTTAGATAATAATAAATATAAAATGAGTAATGATGTACTAAGTTGAAAAATTTAATTTAAACCAAATTAATTAAAAGGTTTTCATGGAGATATTTTTAAAGATGAAATTGACAGTCGCAATAAAAATTTAAGAGAAAATGCATGAATATGGAAAAATAAACATCATTATGGTGGGTTGATTATAAAATTATTTAAATGTAAATCATTATCTGATTTTGTTGGAAGGAATGATAAAGCTAAATTTGTTCTATTGTTACTAGATTGTTAAATTAGAAAAAATAGAGCTCATGTTAGAGAATCTGATGTTGATGCAGCAATATCTAAATTCTTAATAGGCTGAAATAATTGAGATAATAATAGATGGGAGCTAATTGAAACCTAAGGAATTTCACATTCAACAGAAAAATTAATTTGATAAATTATTTCAAAGACATGTTTGCTTGAAGTTTACATTATTTAATATAAATTAAAAGTGTACCTTCTCTAATTTATTTTACAATTTAAATCTTAAATTACTTAATGATGAATAGCTTATTAATAATATAAAAAAGAACTAAAACAGTTTGATTCAAAAATATTGGATCTCAATAAAAATCTGTGATCTGTATTTGAAATTAAAAAATATTTTAATAATTGGATTTTCTCTTTTAATCATCTATATAGTCGATGGGAAGATACTAATTCTTTTATTATTGTATTACAAAATTTCAAGCTTTTCTTAAGCTAATTATAATAAAAATTACATTAGTTCCAAAAGCATCATCATTAAATTTATTGATCTTTTAATATATATTTTTAAATGTATTAAATTATAAGGAAAGACTCAGATTCTCTGGAAGCTTTCTAATGGAATCGCTTGAACAAAAAGATAGGGGATAGTTGCCTAAATATAACATTATTATATAGCATAGTAAATAAGACAGACAAATCCTATTTTGATTTTATTGTTTACTATTATTATATAATAAACTAAGCCAGCTCATTTAAAATAGTTTTCTTTGAATAAAGTTAGATAGCAAAATGATCTAAAATCAATTAGCTATAATAAGGAATAATGAAATATCAAGAAATTTAAATAATAAATCCATAAGAGTTTTTATAATGGTTAGCAAAAAATTAAGCAATCCATTTTTAATTACATTTTTGATATCAGAAGTTAAAAAAATTTAATCTAATCAATAGTATAATAAGCTGCTGAAATTGTTAAATTTTTTAATTCAATTCAAGAATCAAATTTAGATGACCTATATGAGAACACTATTAAATTTGTTAACACTTTAGATAGAGTTAGATGTATATATTTTTTTTTACAAATTGTTGTTTGTTTTTCCATTAATTAATATCCTGAATATTAAAATTTTTTTTCTCAATTAATATCTACATCTATAATATCCTTTCATCAAGATGAAATATTCATATTTATGATATCTAATAATTTATTAGGTTCACTTACTAAATAAAATTTTAAACTTTGCTAAGAAACAGATTATCTTTCCTATTCATCTTGAATTATATTTGAGAGAGTTGATTCTAGATGAAGAACAAAACAACATTCAAAATTAAGAAAAATTAATTCATGTATATATTTAAAAACAAATAATTAACAATTAAAAATTAAGTAAGGATAACTGATAATCCACAAAACATGAAATGAAGAAATTTGCTAGAATGAATATTTGCTAAAATTTATTAATAAAAGTATACAAAAGAACATATATTTATGATATATTAAAGTAGATTGACGAAGAGAGAGAATATGAAGAATAATTAAGAATTTGATAGAGAAAAGACACTTCAATTTAATCAATCATCTACCTGATAATTGATAAATTATTCTTATAGACTCTAAAATAGATTTTAATTGATGATTTTTAGAAAAAAATGGGGAAAACTTAAGATAAGGCTGTAAAATGTCACAATATTAGAGGATAAGTTTGAATAAGATCTCTATACCTTTCAAAATCAATTTATTTGCATAAAATTTTGATAGGAGAATTAATCAATTAGAAAATTTTGGAAGAATAATTTTCCAACATTGATTATTGGTTGGAATCAGATATATTGTTGATCCAACAGATTCATTCTATAAGATAAAAGGAAACTTGAAATGAAGTTGAATAAAATTAAATAAAGCAGCAGTAACAAAAGTATTATATAATTTTTTTCGCATTTAAGCTCCAATAGTAATTTTAGGAATTAATGTTAAATAACAAATTATTATGGAAGATCAGTGATGAAATTTTGTTTTAGTTTGGTGAACAGAGCAGCTATCATCATCCTTAAATTAAAATTTATTTGTTTATATATTTCTTCTTTTCATAAACTAACCTTAGCTCAATTATTTTAAATGACTTATATAGCTGGTTTTTTTCTTTTATTTTCATAATTATTGCATTTACTAAGATTTAACATTTTTTATTTCTGATGATATATAGTTTTTTTTCATTATGATTTTTTACAATTTATTAATAAATGCATCTCCAAATAATAACTAATAAATCATCATTATCTTTTAGTCTCTATTATTTCATTTTGATTTTCACTAAAGCCTATTTTCTAATTTTAAAAAAATCTGAATAATAAAACTTAATAATTGATTTTTTGATAATATTAATTTGATGCAAAATTGTGAAAATAAAATAAATGTAATATAATAGTAAAGGGCTACAATTTGCATAAACTTCCTCCATATTTTCTTTAAAAGTAAGAAATTTAATTTAGTTAAATTCAATGAGTTTGTGATAGATTTTCTCAGTATCAATTTAATGAATAGTATATGAGTGTCAATTGTACAAGATATTCTAAATAAATATGATATTTCATTTGTTTAAACCTTTAATATTTATTAAATTATCTTTTAATTCAAAAATGTACCTGAAATTACTGGAGTTTATTGTGAAAAACGTTGAATCGCAATCAATACTTAACTTTATGAAATATCAAATTAATTTATAATTAGTCAATACCTGAAATTATTACTTCCTTTAACTAATAACTAATATTTTTACTACTTTTCTTACTTTTTAAATATAAAAATTTTAATTGTTTTTTGTAATTTGTTAATTCAATAGATTTATTATAAATCAATGATTGCCGCAATATCAAATATAGAAAAATTTTGATTTCATTAATTAAAAATCAATATCTTCAAATATTATTTATTCCTTTATAATATTAGAATATTTTCAATCTTATCATTATTATGGGGTGCTAAGGATAGATCTATAAAATAATATGATACAATTGAGAAAACATAGACTGATAATTTGAAAGGCATAATGGGATAAACTTCAGTATTAGGAGATTTAGTTTATAGATTCTACTTGTTAAGTTTAGTCAAAATAAAAATTATTGTGTTAGGAAAATTCAATTGTAATAATTAACATAAAAAAACTAAATTAAGTTAACTTATACAAGATTTAGGACTCTATATAAATCAATATAATGAAGAACAAACTATCTTATATAGATGAGTACAGCTATTAAAATTGAGAGAATCAAAATTGTAAGTGGAAACCTAAAAAATGAGAAATCTCTAATTAATGATGATAGAAACTATACTTAATAATTAAGAGCATTCTTATATCAGTCCTATTAAAGAAATGATATAAATAAAGATTCTCAATATAGTAGATTTCTTTTTTAGATCTTAAATCCCTCAGATTAATTCAAGCCAATTGTATAGTTAGTTGTCCCATAATAAAATTATGTCATTTAACCAGAGAGGAATTCCTTTAAACAAACTGCCCGTTATTTTATTTTTACAATAAATTTCAGATTTATCTATGTATATATGTATATAGGGATGCGAGTATGTCTTCTTTACAATACTTCTTATTTAGGTTTGGGTTTGGGTTGGGTTTGGGTTTGGGTTTGGGTTT